AAAATAATTTGTACAAATATCTGACTATGTATTTTATTAACATTGAATGTTCTCTAATTTGAATTTTCAGAAATCAGTTTATTTTTTTCCAATGTTGGTTATGTTCTTAAAATGCATGGTATTATATAATTCATAATACTTGGCTTTTCTGAGTGGGTGTGGGGTGTGGGAATCACAACTTTGTGGTACTGGACTGTCAGAATGAGTGATATCTCTTCACTAGTTCTGTAAAGATATGCTTTGCTGTCGTGAATGCTGGGAAAATGCAAGGTATTGATTTTTATGATCACTGGCTTCAACAAGATCCGAAATAGCTGTGTAGGATGCTTTCTTAAAACCTGTGCCATCAGGATGGGTATAAAATTACAGTAATTATGAATTTGAAACACTTTGGCAGAAATGACTGAATCTATAATCTTCACTTTGGTTATCTAATTATATGCTCTTAAATATGTTTTACTTGCACATGGAGGATGTTTACATGGCACATGTAGGGAGGCAGATGAGGTTGTGCTGTACTTGGACCTGGAGTGGGGAGGATGGCTTGAGCTGGTGGATTTCAGCACCCTCTCTGAGGGTGACCGAAGACGTCATGTTCCAGTGAGTGAGAGTCAGCGTTCCTACCACCCCATCTTGTTACTTCACATGTGCTCCCATGTATTTGTCATGCTTCTCAGTCATACAGCTTTCAAATGTTCATTGGTCTGAAGATGTGCCTTTTGAAATGCATTTGTTTATTTTGACAATAATATACAATATTGATGGATTTTATTGAAAAAGTTCATTTTTATTGAGTTAGTATGTGATTACTAATTTATAGTTATAACAACTCATATATTTAAGTTCTCTTTTCATCAGTTGTGGCTGACAAAAACCTTAATGTTGACTCAATCTACCAGATGTCTTTGCCACATTGGCTGATGGATCATGATGGGAAATCCCACTTTGTTGGCCTTCAATGCCAGATTAAACCATCATCTAAAGCGAACACTTAGTATTACCTGAACAACTGAGTCATGCTTCCTCGTTCAGTTTGCTTCAGAGAGTGGGGGGGGGACCTGCAGTTACTATCAGTCCTCCACACCAGTTCCTCAGATTTGCTGGGAACTGAGCTTCTCCGCTTCCTCTTCCCATAACAGCAGAAAACTCTTGCTCCTGTTTAAACTGCAGGCCACTGTCCTGATCGGCTCCCATTCCTCCTGCCTTCTTAGGGCTCCTGGGTCTCTGTGTTGGCTTTGGTCAGCATGTGCAGATACATACTGCTATCAGAGAAAAGGGTGTTTGGCTGACTGTCTTATCTCTGCTCTCGGCTTGTACAGCCTTGCTTAGTTCCTTCTGATGGACACAGATCTCTTGCCCAGTGCTTACCTCAGGCTCCGCCTGCCTCTGCCTCTTTCCCCTGTCCTGCTGTTCTTACTATGGCTGGGCACCCTTAAATGTGCCTGTCGTTCTGCGGCCTCACTTCTTCACCATTTGCAGCACTTGTGAGCTTTTGTTTCCTTTATGCATCTCTAAGGGTACGCCACCCACTTTCCTTGATGCCCAAGCGGTGGCTGCCACTTCTCCTCTTACCAACCCAACCCCATCCCTTCTCGCTGTCTCCTTGCTATGGTAGATTCTTGCTATGTTGAATTTCGTTGACTTTTATAAAAAATACCCTGTTTCCTTTTATTTTTCAAAACACCATGCATATTGTTTCTTCTTTTTGTTTAATGCTTCCCTTTTCTGTAAATAGTAGGAATCCTGTTTTAACTTCACTATGGTATCTCCATAGGTGAAAAGTATAAAAAAAACCCACACATTTTTTAAAAAAGTTACTCATTTTTATTTAGTAATTTCTATTAATTTATTTTCAAAAGACATTCCAAGCGAAGAAATCTTCAAGTTGAGTTGACTTGTCTTGTAGTAACTTTGCTTAAAAGAATGTTTTGCACAAAACCTGGACAAGTCTTTGTCATTCCGCCCATGACTGCTGTGGCGAATCAGAAGGCATGGGGTTAGTTTAGCATGAAATAGGTGGAACTTAGTTAGATGGGCACAAAAGTATGTACTATGGGGAAATATTTTGGGATAAGTTCTCTTTTCCTCTCAGCCAAGAAAGCTCCCGTCTTAATTAGCCAGCTGTGAGTTGAGACTTAAGAGTGTCTCCTGCTTTGATTGCCGTTTCCTCGTACATAAACGTCACTCTATAGTATATGTGAATGATGCTTGGAGAAACCTGTAATCAAAGAGCTGGAGAAATGGCTCAGCAGTTAGAGCAGTGGCTGCTCCTGCAGAGGTCCCCTCGGTTCCCAGCTCTCACCTGGTGGCTCACAGCTACCTGTAACTCCAGTTTCATGGGAGTCATTGCTGACTCCGTGGACACCAGGCACCTATTTGGTGCATGTACACACATGCAGACAAAAACATTTATACACATAAATATAAATATGTCTTTAAAAACAAATTTGTATGCAAGCAAAATACAAAGGTTTTACATTCTATTTTTCCTGACATATATTGTGTATGAACTCGTTTTCTAGATGCATAATAATAAACTATATTTAATTCATCCTTGAGTTCCACAGAATCAAAGAGATTTTATTCATTTATGCAAATTAGGACGTTTTTTATATCCTGTTTTTTTTGTAGTTTAGTATAATCGACACTAGTTTTTTTATTTCTTATTAAGGGCTAAAAAGTATGAAATATAAAATTACAGGATTGATTTTTGTTTATATTTAAAATCATAATTTAAAAAGACTTGTGCTTATATTCAAACAGTAATTTATTACCATTAACAAGATTACTGATTTAATAAAAATTTGTGTGCTTATGATGTAATTATGTGAGAATGAAATGACATGTTCTTCCCATCAGCAACAGTGCTTCTGGTTAGGATGTGGAGTCTCCCTGGACTCTGGCTGTCGGGACAAGCACAGTGTCGCTGTCCCCACTCCACAGTCTGGCCAGCAGCTCCCATCACTCCTTCCCTAAGAGCAGCAGAAAATTGGGCCTGACAGATCAGATTGAGGATCTGGAGTAATCCTCCGGGAAGAGAATTCAGGCTTTGTTTGAAGTGACAAAATCTTATTATTTTTCTCAGATCTTTTGTTCCTCTGAAAGGTTGCTACAAACATGTAGTTGAAATATAGCCACATAGGCAGTGACTAAGTTAATCCATTTCCAAATGTGGGTGCACTTGATTTTAATGCAGTTTTGCATGCTGCTGAAGGACGAGATTCATTTAGTGAAAATAAATAGGATATTTTCCACTAGACGTTTAATCCAGTAAACCTTTCATATAGTCATTTGTTTTCCCTCTGTGAAAATGTAGTATGTGGAAAGATGAATGAATGAATGAATGAACGAGCAAGGGGTGCATGAAAGGCGCGGCACACTTCTCAGCAGGAAAAGCAAACTGTAATGGCTACACGACGGGCAAATACCCCAATCTCAGACGTGGGCCTATGAAACCTGTTCGTGCCCGAAAATAGCAACAGACTCCAAAGTTATGGTTGATGAGAAGGGATAGTTAAATGTCGGTCTTGAAGCCCGTCCCATGCTTTGTGATTAGCCTGCCTCGGTGGGATGATTTGTTTTTATTACTGTTAATTTACTGTCAGACTTTGTTCGTGAAGATTCTCCTTTGTGCTTTTGTTTTATGAGCTCTCAGTTTTGGTAAAACTGCCATATGAACCTATATAATTTGGGATGTAATTGTCTAATATAATTGTCTAATGTAATTGCCTGAGGATTTTCATTTGGTCTTGTATGTTTTTGACATTAATTTGTAAAATGTAAACATTTGTTTTATATGGGTGATGACAAACCATTTGATGCTGCCCTTCATAAATCTAATCTAATGTATTGCCTTATGCAAGATGTCTAAGTGGCTTATTTATACTGATTAATGTGGAAAGGTTTAATTCCTTAGTTATTATTAAGTTAAAAATTTGGTGGAAAGCATGCTTTGCTTGTTTGTAAATAAAAAAACAATCCTGTTTGAAATACACACAGAAGTACTACAATAGCTAGCTCATGCTTAAAATGTTATTAGCCATCTCTTGGATTTCGGAATTAACATTAAGAAACTTTGTACCCCGATTAATTTTTAAAGTGTACCCTAAGATGGTGGCTGTTGTGCAGTCGAGCTGTAGCTGCCCCTGACTGGATACAGAGTCAAGGCTGTTCCCTGGGGCCTTTCCCTTGGGGTGGAGTTTAGAAGGCAGCACTTTGTATGCTAGCTCTACCGTGGGGTTTCAACAGCCTTTTCCAGAAATGCTGTTCGTCCACTGTTAATTATCCTTCAAAAAGTCGTTTATAACATTCAACTTTGCTTTTGGCAGAATTAAGTACATGGCCAAAATATTTACTAGTACTAATGAAAGCTAATAACACCATCCTTTGCCACCTTTAAAAAGAGGTTTGAGAAATGTGAAAACAACAACTTGAATGAATATTTATAAAGCTGTTGTTTATTGTACTGTATCTAAATCAAATTTATTTTTAAAAATCTGCCTTAAATCTACCTAGTAGCTTACCTCAAAAATTGCTCTAGAGTTGAAATATGAGCATTTAAAACTGATATAAATAAGAAATGATTATTGATATAATATATTCTTAATTGGAATTTAAATGGAATTTTAAGGCAATATGCTTTGGTTTAGTCTCTGAGACTCTGTTTGATTATTGTTACTACTTACAACTTTCATATTTTTATTTTCAAGCCAAGACTAATGTTTTTATAAGTAGTTAAGTTGAAAGCGTACTATAGAACATTAGACTCCAAGGCATGCAGACAGACTGCTAAAAGGGATGGCTTTTAGTAACTTGATTAAGCTACAAATTTGATTTGACTCTGTTGCTAAGATTATTTAAACCCAAATGTCAAAATATTTAATTTTACATAAAATAGAGACATTAACCTTACAATTGTGTTAAAATATCAAAATTGATCATTTTAAGAATATTAGCATCTTCCTCTGTTTCTTTTAATAATATATGTCAATTGTTTGCAGGTCCTGTGGTATTATGGAAATTCCCGGAGGACTTTGGAGATCAGGTTGGGAGCATAATTAAAAACATTTTAAAACATTTATGTTAAAATACTACATTATTACTATGATATTGTATATGAATAGTTGCAGTTATTTTTCATGATCAACTTTGAGAAAGAGAAGGAGTGGAGAATATGAGGGGGAGTTTTTAAGTGACCAAGTGGGTGAGTTAAGAAGCAGTTATATTGAGTATCATAACAGTGGGTGCTATGGTCTTAACATAGTTTTGCACTATCATTTATGGGATATATATTTGGGGCCAATAAAAAACTCCCAATCATAAAAACTTGAAGCTATTAGTGGTTTTTGATGTATATACTTATTTCTGTATACTTACAACTGCTATAAATAAGTTATCAGTTTTTAGAAGTTGAATTGGGAATATTTCCTTATTTCTAAATAATTTTTATTATTTAATTTTCTTAGAAATCTAAGAAAGCAGAAGGAAACTGCAGAATGAATCTGTGGTTGGCATTTTATAGTTTTCTGTAGTTCCTTAAATATTTACTATGACCCAAAATGAATTACTTTGATTGAAGTGCATAGAAAAATATTTAAAAATTTATAGTATGGGGATATAACTTTGGGGTTGAATTATAGTTTACACTAATTTTTTTTGATAAAGTTTCCTGGATATCTAATAAGTAAGTTCTATTATTCTGCCTAAAAAGAAGTGAGATAATAACAATCTTACCACTATTAAAATGGTAGCTTCACCACCTCATACCTTCAGGTCTCAGGTATGATTCCCCTAGTTTGCAAAAAGTAAATTTCATTAAGTGTACATCTTTACAGTTATTCACTCAGAAATAGTATGCATGCTTTTGAATATTGTGAAAGAGTAATTTTCTAGATGAGAGCATCAACCCGAAAGATGGGAAATTGGAAGCAAACTTGAAAGAACCAATTAAATGGGCCTGATTATGCCTATTGCCTTTTGACCCTGGCTTCAAAGAAAAAGAGGGTATGCATTCTTAAGTTGCTTTTAGCCTTTAGTGGACAATGGATGTGTAAATATCATAAATATTCTTAAGTAAATAAGTCTCTACAGTGAAGGGGGTGACTTTCACATAAGAAGCTAAGATGAGTGTGTTCCTAGTCCTGCAATGATTTTGGACTCATTTTACCAGTCTGCAATGCTTATTTCTCTACCTTCTCGGCCGTCTTTTTTCCACTGGTCTACAAGCAACCTCTTGGCCCTTTTCAAGTGTTATGGCGTTGCTTTTATTTCTCCCTTTAGAAATGTACCTTAGAATTCTTGGGGTCCTAGGGAGGCCAAACTGTGGATCGCATATGAAGATACATACTTGTCAGTCTACCTGAACAGACTTCAGTCTAATCATTTTTTTGCTGGTCCTCTTGGCTAATAAAATGCTGTATGTGCTTTGATATCATGCATCAGTCATTGTCCCTGCATTTAGTCTAAACCAGAAACAATTTACTGTGTAAGTGGCGGCGAACTCCTATGAACCCCAGGAGTCCCATGCACTTCAATTCTCACAGTCTTTGTTTTTGTCTTTTTGAGTATGGAATCTCACTGTGTGAGATCCTGACTGGCCTGGAACTTCCTCTTCCTCCAGAATGCTGGGAATAAAGGCATGCACCATCCTCACAGTATTAAAATTTTATTAGCACTTATTAATTGTACAAAATGCTAAGTTTCATATGACATTTCTTAACATGTATAGTACACTTCAGTCCCCTGCTATCATTTCCCCATGTTCCCTGGCTTTACCTGTAAGCCCTCCTTCTACTTTCATGTTTTTTCTTTAATTAGTATTGTTAATACATACATGCTTATAAATATGAAAATATCAAACTGCCACTTCAGTGTAGTGTTACTCATATGTATGTTTTCAGTGCTGACCACTTGGGATTGGATAGGACTGGATCAGGGGTTCATCCCCGGGGAAGATGATTATCTCTCTGAGCAGTCATTAATTGCCTGTAGCTCTTAATTTAGTAGTGGGGCATTATGAGACTTCCCTCATCTACAATGGCATGTTGACTTTATTGTCACAGACCAGGTCTTGTTTAGCCTACCACATTGCTGAGATCTCACCTTAATCTTACACCACAGCTTGAAAATTAGTTCTTCTAAGGCCTTCTCAAGCTTCTATCCAGCAACCTATGTGTAATTTCTTAGTTTCTTTTATGTATCTGAAAAGCCATCTTCCCTTCCTCTCTACCACCTCCCTCCCTCCCTTTTATTTCTAGTTTTCACACACCACTGTGACTGTCTCACAATAAAGTGAGAATAAATATTTGTTTAGTTGACTGAGTGTCATATTAAATAAAGTTGAGTAAGCTCATGATAAGCTATCTTGACCACAGTGAGAAGAACAGGTAACTAATGTTCTAGGAAGTATAGATCAAGAATTCTGGGTAAGTTTCAGTTTAGAAAGAGTTCAAGGACTATGCCAAATATACTGGAGTTCCATTAAAGTGTGAATGAAAGATGTGGCTTGGTGAGGAGTTTGCAGCCTGAAGTTTAGAGAGCTCATCACTGACTCATGGTGAGTTCCCGACCATGGTTCCTTCTCCTCCCTTTTATTTCCATAGATGAAAGTGTATTAGAAGGCTGTTAGGAATGGGCACATGCCACAGTTACTGTAATCATGTTAGTAATGTGTCATTCATTAGCAAGTCGTGCAGGAATTCTCTGGAAAGTTTAAATTACAGCTTTAAGTGTGCCACAGTAGAGGACGTATTTCACGCGTGCGTTTCTGCTGTACCCTTTTGGGGCTTTCTTATGTGGAGGCTGCCAGCTAGCTGCCTGGCAGTCACACTCGGCACTTCACACCGTCTTTTATGTCACCCGAGTGTAGCTGTCTCCTGTGCAGTTTAGAAGGAATGCGTTGTAAATGTGTGACCACTTATAGTCTTATATATTCATTCATTTTTCTTTCCCTGTTTGACTTAGAAGGGATTTAGAGCATGCAATGATTTTCATGAATTAAAACTGAGCAATATTATTTTGTAATTTTATTTAGTATGTTACTTATAAAGTTCTAAAATATTTGTCCATAACTTACTGATTCTAATATTAAAAATAATTATAGACATGTGCTATTACAAGGTTAATTTTTAAACTTTTTGGGCTTGGTGCAGTCACAAAGTTATTTGATGTGAAAGGAAATTTTATTTCACTACTCTTATGAGGATATTTATGCATACACATGCATATATTTGTACAAACCCATTTCGATGACAAAGTGATTAATTTTCAAGAGTACCTGGTTTTATAAAGAGAATATGTTACTATAAAAATTGTAATTTTTATTGAGATGCTTACTTTGTTTCATAATCCAAACATTTTGTAACTATCTTAGCAACATTGAAATGTCACTTCTGTCTTGTGAGTATGCTTTTGGTAGGAATAGGCAGAGTTATTTCTTCATATGTTGTTGTGCCTCAAGAAGACAATCATATTGTCAACTGTTATTATAAAGATGGGATTTAGTTGCTTGGCAGGTACAATGTTGGAAAATTTAATACAAAACATAACCACACTCTTAATTTACTTTAAGTGTGTTTTATATTTTCAATTGTTGAAATTAAAATTTTCATTGCCAGCGTTAGAAAACTAATTTGAAAAAACAGTGATTTTTCTAAATTTTGTTTGGATTAGGTGGCAGTGGGACTAATGTGCTTTCACAAATTTGCAGAAAAACTACTTAAGAAACATTTGACATTGTATTTGAACACTGGAATGTATTTACCATCTACATTGTATTTGATGTATGCTGAAGGATGAAAAGTTTTACTTTAGTGAACTTCTAGAGGTAGGATATTCATATTTATTTTTGTGTTAGTGAAATTATTATATTCCAACTCTACAAATGATTTAGTCTAGATAGGAAGGCATGACCCTGCTCTGCAACCTGTAGATGTCAAGTCATATGTTATGCAGGTGAAATAAATACAAGTTTTTATTGGCATAAACAAAGTTGTTTTAGTTCTACATAGTGTTAGAGAGGAGCAGAGTTGACAAATGCCTTTTCCACAGTGAAACAGTCTAGACACATGTATCAGAAGCAGCTCTCCCCAAAAAACTGAGCAGTATGGCGTCTTGGGCAGCAGGTCAGAACTCTACATCTAAGTTTGTTTTACTTAAAAAAAAAGTTGAAGTTGGTTGACTATGAAACAAAAGGTGGAAAGAGTAAGATGTCTCAATGTTACCGGATGTAAATATGCCTTTAAAATTGCCACAAAGCCCTTGGTTCACATGGACCATAGCTTCAGGTTTGCTCCTGTCTGTATGCTGGGTTAAAAATGAGTCTTAAAAATTCTTTAGGTTTTAGTAGATCAGGGCCTGGGATGAGCAGAATGCAGACTCACTAACAGATTTTACCACCCTGTATCTAGTGATTGTTTGCTCCTTTCTCAACACATCCATGGTAGATAAGCTTTTTAAAAGAAGTATTGTTGGTTTCTCCTCAGTTTTTAAAGTTTTTGCCTGAAATACAGTTCGGGAGACCAAGTGGTGTGAAGATACTTGCCTGTTAAACAATTTAAGTTTCAAAATATTCTATAGCAACTAAAAATACTGAGCTTGGTCAACATATGGCACTAGCTAGCCTCATGCCCACCCGCTCTTTTGTTATCTTGTTATTGTTGTAGGGCTTAATGACAGTTGTGAGCCATAGATGGGGATGTGGGGGTTGGTCCACCCTGGGGAGAAGAGGAGGAAACTGCAGTGTGGATTATGGAAATATGGATTGATCTAAAAAGAAACCTCTTTTTAAAGAAAGGAGCTCCCTCAAAGAAAAGCTCAGAGAAACTAATGAAAAGATGATGGAATATGATGTAAAAATGATCACTTGAAATCTTTCTTTCATTCCCAGCTGCTGTATTTTGGAGAAAAGAAATGCATTTGTGTATTGAGGGAGAACTAAAAGATCCAGATGAATAGCAATATTTATTAGGTATATTTTCATGTTGATTCAGATAAGTTATGTGCATTTTAATAGATTTTACATATGCTAGACATTTTAAATCTTGA